CACCACACAGCTTGGTCCCATTAAAACAATAGGTGAACAACAGTAGCTTTTGCAAGGTGTGCTTGTTCCAGAGTGCATTGGAGTTGTGAATGGCTTCTGTCTCTGGCAGAGCTGGAGAGGTTTGTGGAATCCCAACTGTAGCACCAGCAGTTGATTGAGGCTCCTCATTTGGGAACATGAGAACTACGTGTTTCTTAATACAAACTTAGAGTATGGAAGGCAGTTTTGTGGTGGGAGACAAGGGGCTTATCATAGATTTAAGTGTGTGTGTCTGAAAGTAAAATATTTTGAGACAAGTGTTCTGTATTGGAACTACCTTTTTGTAAATGCTAGAAAAAAGTTAATTTAAAAATAAAAGATAAAAAAATGTGGGTAAAGCTTTGTTTTTGGTTAGTCCTGCATGAAAACTCATAATAGATGTGCTGGCATACTGCACTTGGTATTTGGAGGAAGGAGTTCATTCAGCAGTGTTCCAACAAAGACCACAAGAGCAACATGAGATTTAGGCTGCAGCTGAGGAAGAAGGTTGTGTTTTTTGTTCTGTTTTCTTTTTTTTAAAAAAGTCCCTTTTGTTCCTTCTTGGAGAGCTTTATATATAGCTAATGTAAAAACTTGTAATTTGTGTTGGGTTTTTTTATTAGCTGGGACTGTTGGGTAGTTTAAAATCAATTTTACAGTGCAGTGGCAGACTTTTACAAGAGACTTTAATGAATGTGTATTTTCACTATAGATGGGCAGAGAAGTTGGATCAGCTGACAGATACTGCTACGAAAGACCCGGAGGGGTTTTTGGGACATCCTGTAAATGCATTCAAGTTGATGAAACGGCTTAACACAGAGTGGGGTGAGCTGGAGAGCCTCGTTCTGAAGGACATGTCAGATGGTAAGTGTGCCTGTACTAAGAACAAGGATCACATTATAATTGCATTTACTTGACTATGTCTTTCACATGTCATGGTTTGAATTAGATTTGCAAGTCTGCTTTTGAGGTACCTGCATAAAAATAATGCTAGAAGGCCTGCCATTTTGCTGTCAGTGTGCTATAATTTGAGCTTCACAAAAATTTAGGGAAACTGCAGAGTTTAAACTCGGTAATCTCCTTGGATGCTTTAAATTTTGCAGGGGCTCAGGGCTTGCTTCATGTACTCTCCCACTTCTTGCAAACCAGTATTTTGGGCCACCAGGATGATCCAAGGTCTGGAGCCCCCCTCCTGTGAGGACAGACTGAAAGAGTTGGGGCTGTTCAGCCTGAAAAAGAGAAGGCTCCAGGGAGATCTTATAGCGGCCTTCCAGTACCTGAAGGGGCCTACAAGAAAGCTGGGGAGGGACTTTTCATAAGGACAACTAATGACAAAACAAGGGGAAATGGGTTTAAACTGAAAGAGGGGAGGTTTAGATTAGATATTAGGAAGAAGTTTTTCACTGTGAAGGTGGTGAGACACTGGAACAGGTTGCCCAAGGAAGTTGTGGATGCCCCCTCCCTGGAAGTGTTTAAGGCCAGGCTGGAGGAGGCTTTGAGCAACCTGGTCTAGTGGAAGGTGTCCCTGCTGATGGCAGGGGGGGGTGGGACTAGATGATCTTTAAGGTCCCTTCCAATCCAAACCATTCTATGGTTCTATGAAATTTAATCTCCAAGTGTGATAATTCCATTGAACAGAGGAAAGGAAACAAAACTCTTTTGAGTGCGAGACATGTGGTGCTGTCTTTGAGTATGGTCAAGAGCTATTACTGCTGATGTACCCAGAGTTGTTAAGGTGTGATGGTTCACAACCTGAACATTGTCGGGAGACTGAGCATTTGTGGACCTGATCTGAATTACTGTAGTAAACACTTTGCTGCCTCTTTTCCTCTGCAAGAGTAGAAGCTTTTTAGTAGGGAACAGGACATAAAATAGTTGACTGTGGAAAGCCACTTAGCAGCAAGGAAGCTGGGATGATTTTATTTGAGCTATGAGAATCAGTTTCAACAACTAACTAGCACCAGGTGTAGGTTTGTAGTAAGAAATGATTAAAAAGTGGAGCTTTCAGAAAAGATACAGGGTTAGTCTCTAATAAGGATTCAGCACATTCAGCTTTTTACCGTGAGGAACTGAATATGGCAATTGAAAAGGCTCTGCACCTGCCAGACAGAAATCTGGACCAGTGGATCTTAAGCTCTTCTGAATGAAGGGCCGGGGGGGGAAGGCAAAAACCAACTGTTTTGATTGGGAAAAGGAAAATGTTGAGCAAAGCATAGTGTAATAAGAGAAAGGATGCATAAGAGTGAAAGGATATGGGGGGTTTGGGTTTTTTTTAAAGCAGGAACACCTTTCCATAAACTGATGGTATTATCAGGCTTGAATAATTAAAAAAGACCACTAGAGCATGGCAAAAATCACAAATTGGGGGAGTTCATTATTTTTTGCAGCCGTGTTGTGTACTATGCTTTGTCTGTTTTTACTCATGCTGCTAAGTTTTCTACTGGTGGATATTAGATGAACTCAATAAACATCATACTAGCACTGTCCGAAGTTAACACTGTAAAGCTGCTTGTGCTTCTGGATCTTGGGACAAAAGCGTTTGTTCAGTAGAAAAGTTTCTAAAAATGCTGGAGCAGCTGTCAGTTTGCTCACACTGAGGTCCTCATGGCCTACTTTGTTGATGCTGTTCCTTTTGGTGACTGCTGGTGCTGCCCTCCTCAACTGCCCTCTTGGCTTTCTGGAGTTCTGTTTCCTTCAGCAGTGCAAACAACCCTCCAGCCTCATGAGGGTGCAGAAGCAGAAGGGGAAAAGTAGTGTCAGTTCTCCCAGTGACAAGAGGATAATGCACGAGCTCTGCAGGAGGGTCCTTCAAGTAACAGCAATAGCTGTGTTTGTGTGCGTGCACCAGAGAGGAGGAGGAACCTTTCACAACAGGGGAGATGATTACATGTGACTCTAATGACTGGGGAACAGTTCCTAGAGAGAGTATTTTTTTTTTTTCTAGAACCTGCTTGTCTTCTGTTCCATAAACGCCACCCTGGTGCTTCTTTAAAAAGACCCCAAGTTTTTATTTTTGATTGTTCCTTTGCTTTCTTTCCACAAAAAAAAATTGAAATGCAAACTTTTCTGCATGCATCTTAAATTCAATTCAGAGTTGTGTGAAGATGGATCTTGAGAAACCTTTTTAACTTTGTGTGTTTCTCAAGTTTCAACGTAAATATGTCAATGCCCGTGTCCACAGAAAGCAGGGCTGCTTAATTTCCTGCAAGGCTGCTTAATTTCCTAAAATCTCATCAAAAGCTGTTTGCAGTTAGTCATCAGCATTTTTATCATCTTTTTATTGACCAGCCTTAATATCTACACTGCTGTTCTTAGCACCGTTTGGTTTTCTCTTCTAAATTATTTGTAAATTCCGTGTTACTAAATGAAAAGCCTTTTGGAAGGTGGATTGAGTGGAATGGTTGTGAAAACTACCAATATATTATCTGTAATGTTCTCCATGTGGGGTGGTCTTTTTGTCATATGTAACTTTTTTTTTTTTCCCTAACCTGTTAAGACAAAAATAGTTTCTGCATTAAATGGAAGGGGTTCTCCTGTCCTTTAGAAACAAACTTAGGGCATTCATTGGTGCTCTGCAGGCTAATAGCTCTTCCTAACTTATTAATGGCCTTTCCTGAAATGTTAACTTTCCCTGGAGTAGACAGTTATTTCATGCATAGAGCCTATAGAGTTCCTGGGATGAAGGAGGCCAAGCGTTTCCCTGTCTTCCCAGGCTTTATCTCCAACATGACTATCCAGCGTCAGTTTTTCCCAAATGATGAAGATCAGACTGGTGCAGCAAAAGCACTCTTGCGGCTTCAAGACACGTATAATTTGGATACAGACACCCTCTCAAGAGGAAATCTTCCAGGTAAGAGTCATTGTCATTTTCAGAAGACAGCATGAGCTTTTATTAAATATCCTGCTTACATACAAATCATTTGACTCTGTTCCATCTTTAACTGTGTAGCGTGAAGGTAACAACAGGAAAACAATGGAGCTAGCTAAGCATTTACGAAAAGTGATGTGATGTGGGTTGTTGAATGTAGGTTGACATAGGTGTCAGTTTTAATTCTGCCACACCTCAAGAGAGAGAAACCTGTTGCTTCAGGCTGTGCTGGTGAAGAGGAACCCAGGAAGAGCTGATGGCCTCTGGCATACTGTCAGGTCTGTTGATGTGGTGGTTCTGCTGGAAACTGCATCCACTTGGCTTCCCCGCAGGGTGGGCTTTCTTCTGCCAGTACACTGCCCAAGTGCACGTGGATAAAACACTGCACAGAACACAGGTTTTTTTCTGAGCTGAGACTCTCCTATGTCCTGTCACTCTCCTCACTCTACTCACGTGCTCATTTTCTGCTTGGACTGGAACTTGAAAATTTCTTTTTAGTTGGAAGTCTGCATCTTTCTTCTATTTATGGTAAGATAATTTGGTTTTAATAGTTTTTAATAAAAAATCAATAGCAATAAAATCTTGCCTGAGCAAGGATTTTCTTTGTGTTGAAGTAGTTGTGCACTGGCAGATACTTAGTTTTATTGCACAATATAATGCATTTTAATAAAAGAGTTCTATCATTTATTACCCCTTTCCCTCTCAAGGATAAGAGGGACCTTTCAGATTGGGAGTGACTTAAGTTTCTTTGAGCTTTAACTTCATGGAGTGTATCAACTGAAGAACAAAAGACAGCGTGCGTACACAGGCTTGAGCTTATGTGGCATTGCCTGAGGTAATCCTTAATAGGTTTATATGCAGAAGACACACTTCTTTCTTGTTAAAAGACTCTTTCTCTGCTGAGTTTTCCTTGTTTCCTCTGTTTGAAAATAGTACTGTGCCAACTGGCAAAAAATCAGCTCTGTACAATCCATCTGTGTTTTTGCAAGCACTCATTGTGGTCAGATGCCTAATGGAATTAAGGGTAATTGGCTTTATGTGTGATGATGTATAACCTTGCTTTTGGGTTTAGTTCAAGACTGTCTCAAAGACCTACAGATTCATTCTAATACAATAAACACTTTGTTATTGTTTTCTTAAAACAGCACAAAAATACAAGACTAAATGCTTCGAGTGGACTGTAGGTTATTTCTTCTTTTGAAGCAATAAGCTGTCCAGACTCTGTGTAATGAAGTGTAATTGCAGATCCTGAAAGTTCTAGAGTATAAAAGAGAACAGGTTGGTCTCTTCAGAGCTCCAGTGAGGAACATCCCATGTGGTCACTTGTTTGTGCTCCTTGTCTTCCTTTCCAGGGAATATCTGTTTGGCCAGGTCGACAAATTTTGATCAGAGTCTTAACTTACTGTCTTATCACTTATTAATTCTTTTTCCTGCATTACAGGTTGTGCTGTTTCTTTATATTCATTATCAACCCTATTTGATGCTTGCTGTTTTAAGCACCCTTTTAAGAGTTGCCTTTTCATGTGTGGCCAGGCTTTGGCCGTGCAACTCGTTCTGGAGGAGCTCTCGCTGTCTGAGAGCGCTCCACCACCACCGCACCCGATTCCCTAATCTTTGTGTTATTTTAGAGTTTGCAGCTTCAGGCTCAGAAAACTGAAATCACTGGCCATCCCAGGATGGACCACAAGGTGTTCAATTAGTGAGCAGAAACAAAGTTGTTCTGTGGGATACTGCATTTCATGGCCTATCTCTATAGCTATTTAATCTCTTAAGGCATGTCTTCAACAGAAGAATTCCTCTGTTTGAAACAGCTGTGGGAGCTACTATTAGAAATTCAGGCTGTATTAAGATGTAAGCAGAAATGCAATTTTAGCTGTAGAACCGGCAAGTCCCGTTTCCTTTTTACAAGATTAAATTTGGTTTTTCTTTGGGCCTTAATTTACAGTGGCAAAAGTAGGAAGCTGTAATTTGCTTACTAGTGCTTTAATCTTTCAGAGGTCTCTTCAAATGTTTCTAAAAATGACTGACTTGAAAAATCTTGAGCAGCTGGGAATTTACTGACTGATGTTTTCTTTTTCCTCCCCCACTAAGTTGTCACTAACAAGATGTGCTTCGATAAGGTTCTAATGCAATCATGTAACGTGTTTGAAAACAGATTTCTGAAACTTTGTATTTGGCTTAGTATTGCTCTTGCTCAGAGTGTTTGGGATTTTGAAGAAGGAAGGTTTATTTTATTTTATTTTCCACTAATGGTAAAGGCATTAGCTAGCTGCTGGTATTCTGGCAATGGAAAACTGCATCTAACCACTTATGTGTCCTGCCAAGGATTTCCAGGCTTTAGATACTTAAATGGAGGCTTCAGCAAATAGCCACCACAGAAGGGAGATGTTGAAGAACAGAAATAAGCTGTGCTATGAAGAATAAGAAATAACTGAATGTTACTCTGAAGGCTGGTTTGGAATTCTGTGTAAATTCTGTTTGGTTTGTTTTAAATACAGGTGTGAAGCACAAATCCTTTTTAACAGCTGAAGATTGCTTTGAGCTGGGGAAGATTGCCTACACAGAAGCTGACTACTACCACACCGAGCTCTGGATGGAACAAGCTCTGAAACAGCTGGATGAGGGAGAAGTGTCTTCTGCAGATAAAGTCTACATTCTGGACTACCTGAGTTATGCCGTGTATCAGCAGGGGGATCTGCCCAAAGCCATGATGCTTACCAAACGTCTTCTGGAACTGGGTATGTGAAAGAGAGATCTGCAGCTCACCACGATCTGACTCTGTGATGGAGCAGGAGCTAGCTATGGGTTTGTACTGAGGAGCACGGTGCTGCCTATATTCTGACTTGTGTATAGGTTTTAAAAATAGATTATTACTGGTATTACCATTAACATCTTGATGTGTAGTTTTCAGTAAAATAAGAATTGTGTTACCAGAAATCATATTTTGCCACCTTATTTTTGGATGGACAATTATAGTCTCAACTATCATGTCAGAAAGTGTCATGGTTAAGCATTGCTCCTTTCTATTGAAGAATTTTCTGCCTCCTGTCACTATTGGCTTCTAACCACTTACCTGTCCTAGTCCTTACTGCCTGAAATTTGCTTCACTTACTGTATCTCTCCTGTGTTAAGATTACTTACCCTTACATACAGGCAAGAACAAAATTAATGAAATCAAAACTAAATTGGCGATACCAAAATGTCTGTGGATTATTTAAATGCAAATTAAGCATACCTGAGGTGAAAAACTCAGAAGAGTAAGAAATACAGAATGCAATACAGTGAGCTAAGATTCTGTGTGTTTTATGAAATATGAAAAGTATTTGTTTCTGTAAATATTCCACTGACTGTGTGAAGGATGTTGTGGGAAGTTCAGAACTAAACCTAATACAGCAAAAGCTAGTGAGAACTATTTCTTAGTGAACTGAAGCTGTAACTTTAGTGATTGTTAAAAACTTTGTCACCAGAAATCTTAATTCCCATCAGAGAAGTTCTTAGTTTTAAAGCCATTCATGCCGTCCCAGCTCTCTCCCTGTCCTGTTCCCTTGTCTCCCCCTCTGGTGAGATTGGCTGGAGCGGCCAAACCGTTTTCCTTAAGTGCTGGGACCCCTGTGCCTGCTGAGGATCCTGGCCTCGCAGTAAGCGGTTTCTTAACTGTGAGTGAGTTGAGCTTAGCTCTGAGAGTTCATTGTGTACTTTCCTGCAGATGAGGAAGGATATGTGCACGCTGCAGGCTAGCATCACTTCCAGCTTAGCTTGGAGTTCTAGCTGTCCTGTGAATGCTGTCAAACCAGAACAGACATTTGTGATTTCTATTTGAGAAGCAGTAGTGTGCATCTGTTTTCTTTTTGTAAATAGCCTCTTCTGGATAGTTCTAGGCAAGTTGGAAACTTGCCAGTGATACTTGTCTGTTTCTTTATCAATAGATCCTGAACATCAAAGAGCAAATGGGAACATGAAATATTTTGAATATATCATGGCTAAAGAAAAAGAAGCAAATAAATCCAGTACAGATTCAGAAGACCAGATGGAGAAGGAAACTGAGGTTAAGAAAAAGGATTACCTGCCTGAGAGAAGGAAGTACGAAATGCTGTGCCGTGGGGAGGGTCTCAAAATGGTAAAGTGGAGTAGAGTGTTTTCAAATGTATGAGACCAACCATAACAAAACAATGTCAAGAATTTGTATGTGGTATGAAAGCAAGGAAGTTGTTACAGCAGCTGGCTGAGCGTGCAGAACTGAGGATTAGCATGGGTTGGATTTCTTCCCCATTTCATTCTGTCCAGTAGACAAAAAGTAATACTGCCGCAGGCACTGCTGACTAACTTGGATGCACTACGTAATTGTAATTAATTGAGTAAAGATGCTGGAAGTCTAGATTTACATACGGAATTGAATGAGGGTGTTTCTTTAGTCATAAAATTATTTTTAATTTGTCTGTGTAAAGTATTGCTTGTTGTGGTATGGCAGAGTAACCTTAATGTGCTGAAAGTACTGATTTCTCAAACTTAAAGCATCTCTTTAACTTCTAACATAACACAAAGGCAGGGAAAGTGACTTGTTCCTGTCTCTTGTTCTCAGGATGTCCTCTGTTTCTTAGAGATACTAATGTCATATGGAAGTTCTCTGATTATCTCTTGCTCCACCTTGCTTTCAGACTCCTCGGAGACAAAAACGACTCTTCTGCCGCTACTACGATGGAAACAGGAATCCTAGATACATCCTGGGCCCTGTCAAACAGGAAGATGAGTGGGACAAACCTAGAATTGTTCGCTTCCTTGACATCATCTCTGATGAAGAGATCGAAACTGTGAAAGAGCTAGCAAAGCCGAGGGTAAATGCTTTGCACTTCTTTGCCTTTTGAAAGAACACATTTTGTAGTAGCTTTCTGTGTGAGTGTGTGTGATTCTGTCTCCTCTGGAATGCGGATGTGTGCGCAGTTTGCTCACACATTGCTTTTCTCACCTTGTAGCTTCTGGTGACACACTCGTTGATGGAGACAGTGAGGAAGCTGGAAATTTGTGTCATTAGAGAGCCAGGTAGCAGCCGTGCAGGATTGTCAGACTCTTCTGGCAGACACAATTTCAGTGTGTGCTGTTTCAGATAAGGAGGAGAATGTTCTACAACAGAAAACAAGCGTACTGCAGCTAGGTTGCCTTGAAGTATACCTGTCACCTGTTTTTTCTTTGGTTTTCTGTTTTTTGTTTTTTCTTTTTTAATTCTATATTTGCTAAAGTTGTGACATGGAGAAGAGTGTCATCTAGAGAAAGGCAGCCATTCCTCTGGCCCTGGACTGACACATTATTGTATAGACAAGAATGAAAGGTTGTATTCTCCATGCAGTACAAAACTTGACTTCTGTCTCCCAGGCTTTGAAGTTGCCTGCAGATGAAAGAGCTTTAAGAGGGCAGAACTTAATCAGTGGTACTCAGCTGCTTATTCACAATGCCAGCTCATCAAATCCTATTTCAGAAACTGGATCCTGAGGCTCTTATTTCTGAGAGCAGAGTAATCCAGGGCAGCTCAACGCTCCGAGTAAACAGGAGCGTCCAAGAAAAACAGCAAGCTGATGGAAGCTGCTTTCTGTATCCAGTTGGTGCAACTGCATCTCAAGATGTGTCCTGAAGATGTAGTTAAATTGATCTGTTTTTCCATCAGTTACCAGTTACTTCTAAAATAAGACTTAAACTTGTGGAAATACAATTTTCATGCTTTTTTTTCTTTGTTTTTAGCCTAAATGGCTTTTAGCCTAAATGTCCAGAGCGAGCTGAGCAAATGGAGATTAGGGGGATAAGTGCATTAAGTATGGGACAAACCATTAGCTTGGTCTGCTGCACAGTAAACCAGCTGTGGGTTATGCATGGGCACACGGAGGGCGAGGCTGTCCTTGGCCACTGCACTGAGTGCTAGGTTGCCTGAAGGTGATTTTGAAGCTTCCTAGAGGCTGATGTGTTGTGTTTGTGAGGTAACGTTCTGAGCTGTAAGCGAGAAGTACAAGCAGTTCTCTTGCTTGTAAAACATCTCTTCCTGCTCTCGTCAGGCAGCCTTGCTGCAGGTCTGAAAACTGGAGCCCCAGTTGTTTGTAGATTATTAAGCCCCTTTGCTGCTGTGAAAGCTCTGGCTAATTCTGTCTGTGGAATCATCTGCATCACTTCTTTATGGAGTAGAAATATGTCTCAGTGAACATGGTGATTTTAACTTCTGAAGTTGCTGAGATAATTGTTCTCCTATGAAATGTTTGGCTTGTGCTGAAGACTTGGAGATTCATAGTTCGTTAAAGTATCAGCATCTGTATGCAGTTAGCGTTCTACATATTTCTTGCAGCCAAGGCCCTGCAGGGCTCTCGGTAACGAGTGTAGCAAGAGGACTGTGCTTTTTGAGACAGAAAGGTCATCTCTTCCTTCCTGACACTTGAGGTGTTACCATTGCTGCCTCTCGGAAGACAGTGCTGGCTGATCCGTGCCCAGCCTTCTGCTGTGCAGGTGGCATAAGCTGGCAGGATGAAGCCTTTTTATTCAGCTTTGGGAGTCTTGCTGCAATCGTAGTTTGTGCTTTGATGCTTACATGTGCCTGCATGGGATGAGAGGAGAGGCAATGTATTAAAGAGTGCCCAATACATTTTTCTTAGTAGGCATGGAGAGGCCTTGGTTTACTTAGTTTATTTTAACAGTAGAAAAATACTTCTTGTAATTGTTTGGGACTTGCTAGGCCGTTCTGTGCTTCTTCCAAAATTTGGACTCTGCAACTCAATCTATCCAGTTATGAATGATGGAGAGTGTCTCAGAGTACCTGAACAAAGTTAAAGGGCACACATAAGGTCCTGAATTAGGGTATTAATATAGGTGTGATGGCACCAAGTAAACGGGGCACAATAGAGGGAAAGGAAGGCCCGGAACCAAGAGTTCTCACTCTTTGTAATTTAGGAATAGAATGTAAATTTGTCCATGGAGTAAGTAGTTAGTTTGTGTTGGCAGTCAGTGTTAAAGGAGTTCAGTGCTGCTTTTGGTATATAGATAGAATCAAAAAGGTCAGGTTTTATTCATCTTGCGCTTATACAAGATCGCAATACTGCCTGGATTCACTTTAACTGTAAAACTCATCTTGCACACACAGGACAGAGTGCTAACAAAGGACCACTGTACACATCCCATAATGTTGTGCCGCTTCCAGCAGTCATTGTGATACGAAGGAAATTAAAGCTTCTAGTTTACTTTATTCAGATGACTGTTCTTGCTACAGAAATGGAAACATTACTTTCTGGAAAACTTTATATTCTCTAATGCTCTGTTTAAAAAACAAACAAACAAAAAACTAAAAAAAAAACCCCTCTTCTAGTAAAACTGGAGTCTCCCCCTCTTTCCCCATCACTGCTTTATGAATTTCTACCCCCTCCATAAAAGAAAAACCACCGCAAAAGGTGACCGGGTGGCTGGCGTGGTGACTTGCGTGGCATTTCCCCTTAGGCTTCTGAATGGTCGGATTGCTGTGATGCCGTATGTACTTTGTAATGCAACTATTCTGATGGTTCGCTTCACAGCTGAGGCGAGCCACCATTTCAAACCCCATAACAGGAGCCTTGGAGACGGCACATTACAGAATTAGCAAAAGGTAAGAGAGCTCTATGCCAGATGTTTGGGGCCTGTAATGAGTGTGTAGATCCTGCTCATTATGGGAAAAAAAGAGGTGGTCTGAAAAGACAACTTCGGCTTTGTAGTCCACCGCTTTATTACATGCAGATCTGTAACAGGCTGTTACTGCTGAGTTTCTCAGTCTTTTCCTTCAGCTAGAAGTTCTGGGGGCATATTTTGAGCTGCTCTTTTTCTTTTTTTTTTGGTCACCTTTTCAGTGTGTGTTCTCAAATTATGATCTGTACAAGAAGCAGGTCTTTACAATCAGTGTAAAAAAAAAAAATAACGTGATGCTACAAAACCTTCAATAGATTTATTTTTTTTTATATTCCCTTCCCTTTGCTCTTCTCTACAACCCAAAATTGACCTGCTTTGCCTTGTAAAATCTAGCAGACTACCTGAAGTGCCTTTACATGCATAAGAGATGCTTCAAGTCCTCACTGTGCGTGACAGCTGGCGTGGCACACAAAACACACGTTGGTTAGTCACACAGCATTTAATTGTTCGAGATAATCCCACACTCCTGTCTGAGCTCTCTTACCTCCTGCTGACTCAAATCTGGCAGGACACAAGCTCATTTGCACTGGGCTCCTGCCTCTTTCCAGCTTGTCTATGGAGTACTACAACTCTTGAATTAGCCAGTGTTTTCCAAAATTGGCTCTAAAAGAAACCACCTGCCCCCTGCCTGCCCTCTCTGGTTTTAGTAGTGGTGATTAAAGATGGGCCATGCGTTCCATCAGCATTAAGCCAAAATTCTGAAAGGAGTGAAACTTCTGGGTGAAGAGGAATTCTCTGTGAAACTCAGCATCATAAATTACTTGCAGAAAGTCTCTAGTTTAAAACAAACAAAAAAAAAGGGAAAAGAAAAAAAATAAGGAGGAAAAAAAAGTGAAAGGACAATCTGACCAAATTTTTTTCCAACCAATTTATTTTGATTTGGACATGGCAGCTACAGCTTCTGTTGCCCTTCTAATATTGCTAATTGAAGAGCATTGCATACCATCCAGACCAATCGGAACCCTTTCAAACACCTGTGGCTTGGCAAAAAAGCAGCCTACTAGGTGGGTAAGCCCTTGTCCTTTCTCTTTTTGTAGCTGAGCCGTGCTACTGTTCATGACCCTGAGACTGGGAAACTGACCACAGCACATTACAGAGTCTCTAAGAGGTAAGGGGAACGGAACATCTGTGTGTGGGGACTGTGCTGCTTCATCTCTAAACTTGGGGCAAATGAGGATTATGCATAGCTTTTCTATTCTTAGTCTTGCTTTAGAAGAAAGAGAATGGTCTAAAGCAAACAGCTGTCATACAACAAAGCAGGCGGGCTGCTGAAAGAGAAAATAGTTCTGTATGTTGGCGGTAGCCAAGATGGAAGTGCCCTCTTCTGCTTAGCATGGCTTGTCTGGTGCGACTAACGTACTAAAACGTTAGCAGGGTTCTTCTTACACTAACAGATGGTGGCAAAGCCTGCCTGTGTCGCTCACCTCTAGCACAGAACTCGGGTGTTGATACTTGCTGCTTAAAACTGGGCACTGGTGAGCTGCTGTAAATCGTGGGAATAGTGCGAGTTAGAGCAAGTTGATAATTTTAAACAATTTCCTTGTTTAAATGATTGAAAGTAGTTGCTGTTTTAATAGAAAACTAGTGTTCTTTCAACTACTTCAAATAAAAAAACCTGAAATTAGAATGACTAGTGTTTTTGTTTAGCTATAAATTTCTTTAAGAAGATAAAAGTGCTTCCAAATACTGGATCACAAGAAGTTGATTGATTCAGGAATGATTGTAACTCTCACAGAAACTAGAAAACCATTGTAGCTGAAGTCTGATCCTTAAAAACCACGCTTGTTAGACGTAGTGGCAAGTTGAAAACCTTTATTTTTGTACATTGCAACTGCCTTGCACCTTCAGCAGCATGCAGGTCCCCTTACTCATCAGAGCATGCACAGGTAGTGGGAGTCCTTTCAAAATTGTCTGGTGAGCTCTTGCGTGTTTGCTCCTTAAAACTGCGTCCACAGCACTCTCCAGAATGACTTTAGGAACATGCATCTTCCTGTTTGACATACTGCATTTAATTTTTTTTTTTTTTGTTAATTTTAAAGTCTGTCCATGTCTTACCTGTCTTGGTTATCTGTGACTGCATATTTTAAAAGAAAGCATTTATTCAGTCTGAGCATTTGTCCTCTGTGACACAGAGCACTCTGAGGCATTTACTGGAGAAATTTCTTAATCCATTTGAACATACCCTCACGGTTTCTGTCACACTTGATGTGCTCATAATAGGAATTAGAGAAGATGACCAGATCACTAATTGAAATTGAGATGCATAATTGGCCTCTATTTAAATAGATTATCTTTAGTGAAAGAACTTTTTATTTAGAGTTTTGATTTTTCATTAGTAGGAAGTGTTATGCCTTTAGACTATTGCAGATGCCACGGTCAGAAAAAATAGTACTAGACAACACCCATTATTAAATATGTTATTGGCTTTGTGACACGACAAGTAACTGTTTCTCCTAGGGCTTTCATCTGGAATTAACATCGTGCTGTACCTTGCCTAGGGACTGCATGATTAAGTGTAAGGGCAGCTGTTGTCTGCGAAGTGCGGCTGCCTTCTTGGTGTGGTGTGCTGTGCTGCAAGCCTGGAATAGAGCCTCGTGTCTAGTCCTTAAACGTTTAAGGTTTGGTGCTCAAAAAGGTGGCACCCTGGGACTTCCTTCCAGCCTACCTAAGGAACTCACAGAATTAAATCAGATTTTACTGAGTTAAGATTTTTAAATCCATATCTCAATGGAAAGTGGAATTACAATTGCAAAGAAACAGGCAGGTAAAATGGGGCACAGCACACTGTGAAGTTATTTAAGAGAATTTTATACTTTAAAAGAGAACTTGACACCTAAATCCATAGTAGGAGGTGAAAGCCACCCCCAAAAACCCCAAACCAGACTGCTTTAGAAGGATCATGTTATTAATGCTAGATTCCTGAACTTCTCTTGCAGAACCACGTCTTTCTGTTAGAGCTCTTTGAGCTGGTTTGGATTCCAGATGAATCATTGCTCCTGAAAACCAAAAAAATGCTTGCTTTATTTTTTTTAATAGATGACTACCTTCCCCCTTCAAACATTCTTTCCTAGCAAATGCACTTCTAAATTACAGCATTCCTCTCTTTGAGAGGACTACTGTTTGCTGTGCAGTACGTGGCAGGCTGTATAAAAGGGGCACCTTGCCAGCAATAGGAGGAGGACCATCAAGCCCTGCTGTGTGCAGTTCTGGAATAAGCTCAGCCCCTCTGACACTGCTTTTAAAGAAGCTGCTTTTTTTTTTTTTTTTTTTTCTTTTTTTTTTTTTTCCCCTCCTCCCAGCAGCCAGTCAGAGCTTGTAGCATATGATGTTAAAGTTTCCACTTCAGAAATACCAGGCTGTGCTTTTATTCACTCCCTGTTGCATCTCTAGCAGTACCTTTTACATACTTTTTACATACTAAGTACATTTTAGAAAGTTTTTAAACACAGATGCCTCTATTTTATGTGACCAGGTGTAGGGACATGGCCTTTGTAATGTCTGGTGCCAGACTGACTGGTGCAGGTGGAGGAGCTGAGCTTCTGGGCGCGTAAGCCCTTGTATGTCATGTACCTTGGGACAGTTGTTTTTTTCCTAATATATACTGCTTAGTCTGAAATTGTTTCTGTGTGTAAGTATTGTGCTATTAAAAATATCTAATAAGATACTTAACACAGAATTATAAGAGGGAGTAGTAAAAGTAATTAGTGCTAGCTGTTAGTAATGAATATAAAAGTTGTTAAAAGACAGATCTCGGTGTGAGGAAGAAAAGCAGTGCCCCAGCATGAATTCAGCACGCTAACGAAATTCTTTCTATTTCTGTAATGTAATATTAGCTGAGTTCATGGGTGTCTTTACAGAGCCAAATGGGACACCAAAATAACTGTGCTTTTGTAGTCAGGGAATCTGGGTTTTGATGTGGGAGTTATTAAGGAAATACCAAATCCTGCTGTAAGTCACCCACATCTTAAGCTGCCATGCGTATGACTTCGCAGACATAAGCTTGTCCCTTTCTGTTATGAAGTTTTTTGCCCATAGTGGACTCATAGGTGTCAGCTGGTCAAAAATACGCCAGAATGCTGTTCATGCAAATTAATTTGTCAGATGAGCAACTTAATTGAACAAATGTACATTGAAGAATAGAGCTGTGTGCATTTACTGAATCATACTGAACCTTGGACTAGGCATATATTAAAAGAAAAAATTTTGCTGAGCACAGTTCAAGGCTATTAATTCTGCATCACATACGCCACTGGTGAGGGAGTTTTTTTGTTTGTCTTTTAATAGACAAGAGGAGGGGGAAAAAAAAAAAGTCCTTTGTATGAAGGAATATCTGCCAGAAATGACCTTGAAGTAGGCACACACTTCCTTTGATGCCAGCAAAGGACCAAGGCTGAGACTAGCGACAGAAGAGGACAATGTAGGACAGGTCACTATATTCTGCAGAGGCCACGAGGCAAGGCCTGCGGTAACAGATGGGCCTTGTTGGGCATCCTGACCGCAGCAGGTACAGGGACCTCCTGGTGCGCAGGGTTCTGCAGGGCCTCCTGAGTGCTCTGCCCTCCTGCAAGCCAGTTTCATGACGCTGACAGGGTTAAATCACACTGTAACTCTTCACAGGAAACTATTCAGAAGGACAGGCCTCTCCCTCAGTTTTGCTCAGCAACCAGCAGACAGGCTGGCACTTGAGATACGGTTTCAGTTCCCTATGTCCTCCAACTTTCATAGACTTTCTTTGTATCCTTTGGCAATTAATTTTATTTCTAAAATATAATACTTTTACTTTGTGAAAGGGTATAGTATTCTCCTGTTGAAATACTCATTCATTGCAATTTTAAATAACCAATACAGTAAGAATGCCTTTTTTTTTCTTCTCCCCTCCCCTCC